AAGGGAAAAGGCCTGACGCTCAGGTTGCATTTCTTAATTTTCATTATAAATAACCTAGCTGATACTTCATAAAATGTTTGTTGGTTGAGTGAATGCATAAATGATGAAGTAAAACTTGGAATCGGTTAGAGGCAGAATGTGGGTTGTGATGCTTTTTGTCTTTTTTGCCTCAGATTTGATGCTGCCAGGCCTGATGGTGCCCCCTGCTGGTCTGCCGCAGGTACAGAAGGGGGACCTCTGTGCCATTGCCTTGGTTGGGAACAGGTACTGTGCCTGTCCACTGTGCCTTTGGGGGGAAAACTTAGGTAAAACTGGGAAGGGGGTGGGAAAGGACAACTTCCAAAGCTTATAAAGGATTAAAAGAAAAAAATGGGTTCTTCTTCCCGAAGCAGAGAGTGGGCCATGGGGGAATGGCAGTGAGCCTGTGTGGGTGTCCACGTAGCTCAGCCGAGCATATTTGCTGCTGTTTTTCTTTCTTTCTTAATAATTTTACATTTATATAAGAGTTGCCAAGATAGTATAGAGTTCTTATCCGGCTTCCTTTAATGATAATGTTTTATATAACCTTAGTACTGTTATCAAAACTAAGGAATTAACGTTGGTACAGTCCTATTAATACAATTGTAGACTTTATTCATATTCCCTCAGTTCTTCCATGAAATGTCTTTTTTTCCACTCAAGGATCCGATCTAGGACAGCACATTGCATTTAATTGTTGTGTCTTCTTTGTCTCTTGTCTATGACATTTTCTTGGTCTTTCCTTGTTTTTCATGGCCTTAACATTTTTTTCTCCATCATCCACATCATCATCCTTTTTTCTTTTTTAAAGCTTTTATTTATTTATTTCAGAGAGTGAGAGAGAGCGTGCACGAGCTGGGTGAGGGGCAGAGGGAGAACCCGGTTTGATCCCAGGAATCTGGGATCGTGACCTGAGCCGAAGGCAGACACTTAACCGACTGGGCCACCCAGGCGCCCCTCATCATCCTTTTTTTTTTTCAAATCATTTTAATAGCTTTATTCAAATGTGGTTTTCATACTGTAAAATTCACCTGTTTCTCAAATGTATAGTTCAGTGATTTGTAGCATATTTGCAGAGCTGTTCAGCCATCACCACACAGCTTCTTTTTAAAAATAAATTAGGAAGTAATCATATAAACAGTTCTGAACAATCAAACGCCCCTCACCCCACAGCCCTTTGCTCCTAGAAGTATCGGCTGATACACGTATTGAGTGCGTGTATATGTTTGTGCATGAAAATGTACGATTTGGGTATGTATGTTTAAAAATACAAATAAACAGAACTATACTTTATATTGTTTTTCCGCTTAAGATCAAGGGGACATTTTCCACATGGGTAAGCTCAGTTATGCTGAGTCTTCTTACCTCCTACGTGGTGATGGACCTCCTACGTGGTGATGGACCTCCTACGTGGTGATGGACCTCCTATGTGGTCCTCTCCTAATGGACCTTGTGGTTGCCCCCAGTTTGTCTTCATCATGAACAGTCTCTTACTGATGCCTCTAGGGACACCAGTGCCATTATTTTTGCGGAGTGGACACTAAGAAGCAGAACTATTAGGGTAAAGATCAGGTGTATTTTTCTGCTGCCCTACCAGAAAGCCATATGCATTTTCATTCCCACCCACAGGGTACATGGAGCCTGTTTTCTTACACTCCACCAACACTGGATACAATGGGTTATTTTCATTTGTGTCATTCCACGTGAGCAATGATATCTCATTATTTTGCTCATTGCTGCTTTGAGAGAGAAAAGAGAGACTGTAGGCACAGGAGGGGGTCAGTGTTCAAAGATCTTAATGTTGCTACTCATGTTCTCCTGTTTTCCTCGAACCTTTTGGAACCAAGTACCCAGAAATGTTTCCTTCCTTGTTGAACTGGCACAACTTGCAGTTGAAAAGGTTGGTGGTGTCACTGCTTTCCCCGATATTCTATCCAGAACAGGAGAAAACTTCAGAAATGCATATTTGGCCTGTTTGGTTTTGCCTTTAGACTGTATCAGGGGATGAAGCTTGAGAGTGGTTTGTGGCCGAGAATAAAGGTACAAGGTGGTTTATTAATAATACGAACCATGTTCGAGACCTAAGTTTCTGAGCCATTGACCCCTCCAGAGGTGGAAGTTCCTCTTTTAGGAACTGAGAAAGAAACCAGATTCAAAGTTTCCTTAGCAGGAGTTGACCTCTAGGCACAGTAGGGACACCAGGTTAGCAAACATCTTTCTTCAGTTCAGGTTGGGAACTCGGCCCTTGAATCTTCTTCCTTGTGCCCAGGTGACCCTGCCAGGCTGGTATGTCCCCCCACTGTTATCCAGTTGGTCACCCGTCCTTACAGGCAGTGTGTGGGCAATGCTTGAGTAACACTGGGCCGGAGGAGGTTTCTCATTTGGGCTTTGGAAGTTTTTGTAGTTACCGTAAATGTGATTGTTTTCAATCTTCTGGACGCACCCAGTTCTTAGATTGCTCGTTACACAGAGCGAGGCCTGTTAAAAAGAGCCAACTCAGAAGGAACCTCTCGAGTTAGTGCCACTGTTTATCTCCCCTCTCTTCCCTGTGGTGTCCCACAGCCTCACTTATGGCATACATTTGTCCTTCCTTTTGAAGCTCTGTATAGGATGGCTAGGCCCTTAAGGTAGGGGAGGTAATTTTATAGTTTTGAAATTAAATAAAGGGAACTTTAAATATCCTTGCAAGTCCTGCCTGGGTTTGATTCATTATAGGAATAACAACAAACAGTGATAACGTCAGCAGAGGAGTTACTCATACAGAAGGGGAATGTTTGTCAAGGGATTTTTGAAAGTTGTATTTATAGGTAATCCGAGGAAAACTGAGGCTGGACTGAGTTTTGTTTTGTGATACAGGCGGTTGCTTCAGATTTGCAAATGTGGTGCTTTTAGCCCTTGAGTGGAAAGATGCCCCTGACGCGTGCCCTTCTGCAAAGCCCTCCCTGACCCCGTCTCCGGCGTACTTCTCCTCAGAGCCCCTGTTGCCGTTGGAGTCGCTGCCATGTCCACAGCTGAGATGCTGACTTCGGGCCTCAAGGGAAGGGGCTTCTCCGTGCTGCACACCTACCGGGACCACTTGTGGTGGGTCCTCTGTCTCTTCTGTTTTATAGAGAGCTGGGTGGGTGGAGAGGGCACGGGGCCTGGATTCACAGGTGAGAGTTTGGGGCCCAGCCGTGTCTGTACGCAAGTTGCTGATTTCAGACATTCATTTCTTCACTAAATGTGGAGGAAAAAAATGGATGGATAGATCGGTTGGTTGGTTTGTTGTTTTTGTTTTTTGTTCTTTTTGTTTTGTTTTGTTTTGTTTTGTTTCTTGTTTGGGGAAGAAATTACGGAGAACTTTGATTACTTTCTAGGTGAATGGTAGAATCCTAGGCCTAGAAGATGACCTTAGGGACTGTCTACTCTGCCTCTCTGCACTGTGATATTCTTTGTTTTTAGAGCTTCAGTTGATGCTGCCTCATCTGCCACCCACGTTTAGGCATTTTCTTGCCTCATAGGAGTGCTCGGAAACTCTCACTTCTGAATCCAAACCAAAGCAGAGTAGATCCTCAGGCACCACAGTCATCACCTGATCACTTTTCTGTTCAGGTTTCACATTTCAGATCCCCTCCCCATTATGGAAGTCACGTTTTCTCACTGTAATAACCGCTTTCTAAAACCACATACTAGTATCTTCTTTGGTTATTTTCTTGTCATTTTACCAAAACAATAAATAGGGCTTTTCTTAAAAGTGGTGTAGCTGGTCTTTTGGCCAAGTGTTGTGGCCTATTGGTACAGATTCATCCTAACATTTCTAGCCCAGCCTTGTAGTTGCTCATTTTATAAGGCTTGGCCAAACCCTGCCCTGCTGGAGGACGTACAGCCACAGTCGGTGTCCTCGCAGACATCTGAGGGCTGCTTACCAATGTTCTCCAGACACCCTGCTTTCTGGCAGTCCGCACAAGGGCTATCAAGGTCATGTTGCCTAAATTGTTCACCAGTGGCTGCTTCAGTCCCCCTGCCCCCACCTTTTAAAAATATTTATGTACTTACCTCATCAGAATCACTTAAACACATAGTATGGCCTCACTATTCACAAGACTATTAAGACTTGCTGCAACCGTTAGTGTAAACTTGGTTTGGTTTCCATCATCTCGTGCTGCATGCTCCGTATGCGGCATCGCTTTTTTTCCTGTCTTCCTAAGGCTTAGTGGCATGGAAGCGTGTCATCACTACTCTGCAAGTTAGAGCGCATCCTGAGAGAACACAGAGGCAACTGACTTAGTCCCGGAGCAGGCCGGGTGCTTGTGCTTTGTCACGTACTCTGAGCCTCGGGCTTGGAGCTCACCAAACTGGTACTGCGGAAGCGTTTGCCACCTTACTTTTGTTATTGAATTCAAATTGGTTTTATTTTTAATTCACGTGAAGGGAATCCTTTTGGGGGCTTCTCTTTAACTGCTTTTTCTTTCATCTTTCTTTGTCCCAAATGTGGATGAGTGATATTATTATTCCTTTGGAATAGGATAGGTTGGAGGCAAGAATTACTCTCCCCATTTCAGAGATGAGGAAGCTGAGGCATGGGATTTTTCTGGGCCCAGAATTGGGAGTGGGGTTTAGGTGAGAGCCCAGGCTCTCTGCCCTCCCCTGGACACCCCTGCCTGTGGCTCTCACTCTTTCCGGTCTCCCAGCTGACCCTGATCAGGATCGGAGAATGCTGTGGCTGCCATTCGGCGTTTCTGACGTGCGGTTTTTCCAGGCGATCTGGAGACAAGTCTTCTCCACCTTCCTTGGCTCCACTGGCCCTGGATCCCCCAGATCTCAATGAAGAGAAGGGGTCTGTCCTGGCAGACCCCGCCCTGCAGCAAGACGTGAGGTGCCTGACCCTGGAGGGAGAGGACGAGGCGAGTGGGGAGGTTCGGCAGCGGATGTGTGGGGAGAAGTCCCTGTCAGAAGCCTCAGAAGACCCCGGCGTCAGGGGCCTGAACCCAGACCCCACAGACAGCAAGACCCTGCAAGGTATAGCTCTGAGTAGAAGGACCCACCTCCTCTTGATTTAGGAAACGTCTTCTACTCTGCTTCTGACCAGAGCGGTGCCGAAGCTCTAGAACGGCAAGGTCCTTCTCTTTGGTGAGGGTGGTGCTGCAGCCCTTTGACGTCGCACCAGGGAGTCCTTGCCCGACAAGTCCTGCTTCCCGGCATGCCACTGTGCCTTGGCGTTTGGACTGCTTCCAGCTACAGAGGCCTCCGCGGTCTCTTCTGGTTCTGACTTCTCTGTCAGAGAAGCATTTACTCCTGGCTGGGGGGTGGGGCGGGGGGTGGGCCTGGTGGCCGGACCCCTCCTTTGGGGTCAGCCCTCTTTATAGGCTCAGTGCTCAAGAGAGTCTGGGAGCTTTGGGACCCGGGAATGGGTTCCTTCCAGAGCTGAGGGGGTGAGGCAGGGGTGGAGCTGGGTGGGGAGTTTACTTGTACTGCACCAGGCATTCTGTATCCTTCAGAAAAATATGGTTCTTGTCTTTTCCTTGCAGAGCAAATGGATGAACTGTTACAGCGATGCTTCTTGCACGCTTTAAAGTGCCAAGTCAAAAAAGCTGACCTCCCTTTACTCACCAGCACACTCCTTGGCAGCCACATGTTCTCCTGCTGGTACGGAAGGCAGGGTGTGGGCCGCGGGGCTTTCTCTGGTACACTGGCAGTGTGTCAGGACAGGATGGGGGAATTGGCTGAGGGACGTGGAGTGGAGAGTTGATCTGGCAAACAAATCAGGTCCTGAGTTTTAAAAACTTAAATTTTAGCCAGTAAAAGGTTGTTGAAGAAATGGAGGTTAAAATTCCCAAGATTCTCTGAGCACTGCCTCTGCTGTGGTAATTCTGGGCTGGCTCGTGAATCAGGCAGCACGTCCCGTCCAGGAAGCGTCCCGGGGCAGCCTCTTTGTCAAGAGGCTTCTTCTGGAACGTTCAACCCCCTCACACTTTCCCTGCAGAGTAGGTAGGCCACATTATATTGTATCAGGAGGAAGAGTCATTGGGGGGGAAGGCCATTGGGGTGGCCCCAAACACAGGCCACCAAGAGAGACCGTAGTACATGCAGATAGAACCTGGGCTTTGGAAACAGCCATCTGGACGCAAATGCCAGTTCCCCAGGGTTTTGGAGCAAGGTGAATTTGAACTTGTTACCGGGCTTCTCTGAACCCGAATTTCCAGCACTTGTAGGATTGTTGTCAAGATTCACTGACCTCACATTTAATAAGCACTCAGGAAAAATCCTATCAGAAGGTTTGCTCCTTGATTGGTATACCACAACTCAACTTTTCTCTTTTTGAGAATTTTGCTGTGTTTTTTTTTAAAAAGTGGTTTTGATGTAATTCTCTTCCTGCTTACATGTGTGCTCCTTTAAGGCGTCCTATACAAGTGTGGGGTCTGGAGCATGTGGTGGGATACTTGGTAATTTGTCCTGACCTTGCTGGGTTCTAAGTAACTGGGAAAGAGCTCCTAGAATCTTCTGGGATAGAGGGTTCTTAACCTGGGGCGGGTTCTGGAAGGACTCTCCATGAACCCCAAGGCTCTCGCTTGTCACATTTTGAGAGAAGACTTAAATTCTGAGAAGAGGGCCTGATTATGGCTTTCATAGGAACCTCCCCCCAAAAACTAACAGCTGTAGGGTGGGCGTTCACAGAGTCTTTCTCTCAAGAACCAGATCTTGTAGGCTTTGCAGACCAGTCTCTTGCAGCTCCTCAGCTCTACCATGTCAGCAGACAGTAGATGAACGGCTGTGGCCAGATATGGCCTATGGGATAGAGTGCCAATCCTGCCCTTGACCCACCTGCCTCAGTGAGCTTGCTGTTGGCAGGGTTCACCTTGAGGCAGAACTTTGGAGGCCACGGAAGGTGGTCCAGTTCGAGAGGACTCTAAAGCTATATCCAGTACAGGAGCCACTATCCACATGTGGCTATTTAAATTTAAACTAATTAAAATTAAATAAAATTTAGAATTTAGTTCCTCAGTCACATTAGTTGTGTGTCAAGTACTTAACAGCCACATGCAGCTAGTGGCTGCCATATTGGATGATAGATAGAGAACATTCGTATTTACAGAAAGGGCTGTTCCACAGCAGTGATCTAGAGCATCCTAAAGTCAGTACCCTCTCTCCTGCCGCCCCTGGGCAGAGGGCTCTGGAATAGCAGCTTCTTTCTGAACATGGAGGAGGAAGGCTGAGGAAAAAATGCCCTCCTCTCAGCAGCTTTGTTAGCTTAACTTGTTTTCCATCTGCCACCAGCCCTGAAGGACGACAGCTGGACGTGAAGAAATCAAGCTACAAAAAGGTAAGCAGGTACCTTCTCTGCAGACCCACACAGAGAGATGTGTAGGGTTACACGCACCATGAGCTGGATGGACACTGGGGAAGCCCCGTCTGTAGGGCTTGGGCTAGAATTAAGCTTTTCGATTCCAGGTATGGGGGGGGGAGCAGGGGAGGGGGAAGAAAACCCTCCCTGGGTTGAGGCAGTTGGGCGAGCACCCACTCCTCTCTCCCCCTTCCGCCCCTTTGTATCTGACCAGAGTTCTGGAAGACTTCACCAGTTAGCCTGTAGCAGCTTCTCACTCCCTGAGCCTCAGGGCGGGGGCCTCCCAGTTCCCGGTTTGATGAGGGAAGGGACTGTCATGCGTCCGTCCCCAGGAGCAGCCTCACTCGGTGTGTGGCACATCGGGTGCTCAGGATGGGCATGTAATACGTGGAGTCCCTACCCCTGGCCCTCTCTCCCTTAGCTCTCTAAGTTCCTGCAGCAAATGCAGCAGGAGCAGATTATACAGGTGGAGGAGCTGAGCAGAGGGGTGGAGAGCATTGTGGCTGTGGACTGGAAGCACCCGAGGTGAGTGCAGGGGACCTGCTCACCGTAGCTCAGCGGCCCCAGGGCGCCTGGGCCCCGGGCTGGGAACTGCCCAGATGCTAGTATAAAATGTGTTTTTTCTTTCCTTCTGCTGGGTTTTAGGATCACATCTTTCGTCATACCCGAGCCCTCCCCGACCTCCCAGACTATCCAGGAGGGTAGCAGGGAACAGCCCTATCACCCTCCAGATATAAAACCCCTCTACTGTGTCCCAGCCAGCATGACCCTGCTCTTCCAGGAGTCTGGCTACAAGTGAGTTTTTGGAGAGCAGCCCTCCTCTGCCTGCTTGGTGTTCCGGCCTGTAGTTCCTCTCAAGCTGAGTAGCCTTCCTCTGTGACTGGCAGAACCTGTGGCGCCCCTGATCCCCCTTTCTCCCACATCCAGCTTCAAGCCTCCTTCCCCTGAGCAGTGTCTCTGACTAAATGAACGACAGCAGGTGCCTCCCTTTCCTCCTGTTAATCATCCTTCACGAGGCCCTGCTCACCTCAGTCAGGAAAGGGAAGAAAACAGAGCTCAAAAAGCCAAGGAAAGCAGCCTACTGAGCAGAGAGTGAGTCTTGGTATCTGCAGTTTGTCTCCTGGCACAGCACGAACTAACCCCCCGCCCCCTGTCACTTCCGACCTAGGAAGGGAAGCGTTCTTGAGGGCGCTGAAGTCCGGACGGTCATCATCAACTATGCCAAGAAGAACGACCTGGTTGATGCGGACAACAAAAAGTGAGTGGCTGGGGAGCCCTGCTGAAGATCGGTCAATCCCCGACAGCACAGACCTGGACACACCTGTGGAGGATGTCTGGGATAGAGGGGAACGTAGGCGATCACAGCCTTTTCGAAAGAAGCAAGACCAGTGGTTTCTAAGCCATGGGCTGTGGACACCTAGACTTGGCCAGGGTGCTCGGATCCACGTGTGGCGTCAACACTGGCTGTAGCCTGAGGACGTGGTAGCCCATAGACATCCACGACTGGTTTTCAAATGCACATGCCCTTGTGAGGAATCAAGTGCAACTTAGAAAAATTTTACTGAAGTCATCGTGGCTTTTTGGTATCCTCTATTTTCTTAGTAAGTTGGCACAAAAGGTAAACTCCTAAATGAAGAGCATTCCATTACCGTTTTTCTTTTTCACTTTCCGAAGACATCCCCATGATCAAAAAGTTGGGAACTAGCGGTCTGATCATGGTTAGGTAGCAGAACTGGGCCAAGAATTCTGGTGTGTGGATTTATCCCACCCCCACCCCCACCGCCACTGGCTGCCCCCTTGTCCTTGGAAAACATACCGGACCTCCCATCCACAGGGTGCATTGCTTCATGGGCTCTGGTCCCTGAATTGGTTCTCGTGGTCCTGAATGACTACAAAGAACACAGAAGAGATGAATCCTGAGCTGGCCCTTGGGTCAGAAGGGGCGGGGCTGGCATTTCCTTATTGCCTCTTCTTTCCCTTTAGTCTCGTGAAATTGGATCCCATCCTATGTGACTGCATCTTAGAGAAAAATGAACGGCACACAGTCATGAAGCTTCCATGGGACAGTCTCCTGACCAGGTAGTGGGGATTGGCAGTCCCTCTCAAACGTTTCTATCCCTCCCCTTATTGTCTGTCCTTTGGACTTTAGAATCATCGCTGTCTCGGTCTTTGACTTTCTCTCCATAATTCAACTGATATTAGTCTACATAAACACAGGCTCGGTAATTTTGATGTGGAGGATTCTTGGACTGGTTTGAGCCAACACAATATAGGAGAACTTAAAGGGAGAAAGAAAAAGAACAGTTAATTAAAAATAAGAACTTCAAAAAGATTTAGAAGCAAAAAGAGGCCGGGAGGAATTGTCTTAAAGTCATCAAAGGAAAGACTCTATGCTCTTTCTTTTCCACAGAACAAAACTGAAAATAATATCTATGAGGAGTTTGCAAACTACAACCCACAGGCCAAATCTGGCCTGCTACCTGTTAATGTAAATAAGCCATACCCATTTGTTCATTGTCTGTGGGCTGCTTTTGTGCTAACAACGGCAGAGTTGGGTGGTTACACATACCCGGTAGCCCTTAAAGCCTAGAATATTTCCTGTCTGGCCCTTTATAGAAAGTTTGTACCATCCCAGTATATATGATACCAAGAGAAAATCTGGTTAGATGAAAGGTAGACATTCTTTGTGGTAAAGGCTTTCTCTAGAAGATGAGTCGGAACACGTCACAGATGGGAAGCAGCACTTTACCAGGCTGGGTACGTGAGAGTCTTGAGACAGGAAGTCAATTCCCCAAGGCAGCCTGGGCAGAGTGTCAGAAGACCAGGCCACTGGACAGTTTCCAGGGGCTCAAGTCACTGATGAATCCCTTCCCTGAATCCCTGGGCCTTGACTTTGGCCATACTTCGGGGATCTTTAAAAAACATATATGCCTAATTGGAGTTCCTGATTTAATTGGTCTTGGATGCAGCCCCCTAGGTGATGTCAATGATTCTCAGTGCAGCCCGGGGCAAACCGCTGCCTGCCCAAGCCTGGCTCACACCCAGCTGCCCGCTAGCAGTGGGGAATGAGGAGATGATTTCTGTTGGCTTTATCAGTCTATAGCTCACGAACTCCTGTTTCAGATGTTTGGAAAGATTGCAGCCTGCCTATCAAGTGACCTTTCCAGGACAAGAGCCCATTATGAAGAAAGGCAAAATCTGCCCAATTGACATCACCCTAGCGCAGAGAGCATCTAATAAAAAGGTAATTTTAAAAAAGACACAATGTTGAGGGGCGCCTGGGTGGCTCAGTTGGTTAAGCGTCTGCCTTCGGCTTAGGTCATGGTCCTGGGGTCCTAGGATTGAGCCCCACGCTGGGGGGGGGGGGGTCCCTGCTCAGCAGGGAGTCTACTTCTCCCTCTCCCTAAGCCCCTCCCCCTGCTCGTGCTCTCTCTCCCTCCCTCTCTCCCTCTTGCGTGCACGCTCTCTCAAATAAATAAATGCTGCAGAGGGAGAGGGAGAAGCAAACTCCCTGCTGAGCAAAGCCTGACATGGGGCTCCATGCCAGGACCCTGGGATTATGACCTGAGCCAAAGGCAGACACTTAACTGACTGAGCCACCCAGGTGCCCCGTGTTTGGAGGTTTTTAAATTTTGGCCTCAATCACCACAAAGATTGTTTATGAAACAACCATGTTTGTGTGAGTGGGCTCAGCCCTGTATAAAACAGGCAAAGCTAGCCCTCTCACCCCCTACCCTCTAGGATTTTGTGCTAGGACACTTGCTAGAGCCTAGTTCCAAAGGTAAACAAGATTTTGTTTTTATTTTTTTCTTAGACCTGTTACAGGTTTTCAGCTCTTATTCATTCTATTACCTCTTGGGCCTTGCTCAGGGAAAAACAGCTTATAAAGAATTGCTGAAAGAAGTGAGTGTGTGTAGCCTGGCAACACAGAGTCCTAGGGAACTAATTCTATCTGGCCCAAGTGTGTGAAAAGCTGTCCTTGGGAAAAGGAGTGCACTTAATGCTGAGATGCCTTGAGAAGACAGAAATAGGATTATTGGATGGAAATCCCAAGCAGACAGACTTGGGTTCCAGATAAAGAACTTTCTAGTGTTTGGGTTATGCAAGTGGGCTTTGGCATTAGAGATATGGGCTCAAATGTGACCTTTGCCTTGCTGCTTGTCCTTGAAAAAGTGAATGTTTTCTTGCCTGAGTTTTCTTATGTGAAAAATGGGGATAATACCTACCGTATAAGGCATCATGAGGGCCAAATGAAGGAAATACATGGGTGAAGCACTTAGACTAGCACGTGGCATTTAAGCAGTGAGTAAATGAGAACCAGTAATGAGAACCTCAATAATAACTAGCAATAGCCACTATTTCTTGGGTAAGTATGTGCCAGACTCTGTACTAAGCAATTTCTGTATATACAGGTTTCCCCTGCTAGCTGAAAGTGGAGCATTCCTATGAAACCTTTTGTCAGCTGAAATGGGGTAAAGCAAAGAAGCAATTACCATGACTTTATATGGAAAAAATTTTGAGCACTCCCAGACCCCAAAAAATAACTCTCTTAGGCTTTTCTGATATATCAGGACACGTCTTGCTAACGGATGCACAGAATAACTGGAGATAAAGCACAGATGCTCCCAGACACAGTTCAGGGATCTGGGGGCTGGGCGCTGAGGTGCTGAGTGTCGTTCCTGGGGCAGATGCTTGGCGGGGGCTCCCCTCTCGCTGCTGCTCAGGGTGCGTGCTGCCTCTGTGAGGGCTCCCTGCAAAACCAGTGCTGAGCACTATGTTCACTTTTCACCTTTCTTTGTAAGAGTGAAACCCTCTGGATTTCTTTCAGTTAGCAAAAAAAGTTACTAATGTAGGTCCTTTCATAAGAGCGAAGTGGTGTACCGTGAACTTTGAAAAAGCAGGGGACATTTGTACTAGCTTACTTAAAAACTATTAATATTAGCGGTAACAGAATTGTCCCAAATTAAAACTGGTGCTTTCCAAATTAGGGAGTTCTTGTTTGGAGGTCTGCAAGCAACAATTGGGTGACCACTTGTTGGGGGAAGATGTAGTCCAGGGTGCATACATCAGGGAATAGATGTGACCTCTAATGTCTTATCGATTCTGAGGTTCTCTGGGGCTGGAGTCCCTTGACAAGCCTGGGTTATTTGGAACCTATGACTTTATTGAAAGCAGCCCTTCCCAACCCACTCCTGATGGTAACATACTCTACTATCTCTAGTCATGAATTCAAGAGAACTTGTTTCAAAAAAGGGGAGAATTGTGACTTTTTTTAAAGTGTCAGTGTTTTTTAATCTGAAAATCACATATATGTCATTTGTGAAGTTGGTAATAGAAAAATATTTGTGTTCCTGATGAGATGCTTGATGTTAAGGAATTATTGTCCATTTATTTTTAGGTATGATGATGGTTTTGTCTTTATGTTTAAAAGAACCCTTATCAAAAAAATAAATAAATAAAAGAACCCTTATCTTTTAGAGATAAGTACTAAAGCATTTGTAGATAAAATGATCTGATGTTTAGGAGGATTTGCTCTAAAGCAATAGGGACAGGGATATAGGTGAATTGAGGTTGGCCATGAGTCGATAATTGTTGAAATGATGGGAACATAGGAGCACAGTATTCAATTCTACTTTTATTTATGTTTTTAATTCTCCATAACAAAAAACCTTTTTAAAAAATGTATATGTTACAGGTGGGATAGAGAGTATTCCACTAAGTATATAACACATATATTGGATGGGACGGAAAGAATCAGTAAGTATAAAAATAAACAATGTGGATGAAAAGGGCCCATGGTTGTCGGGACGGTGAACACGGCGGGTGAAGAGGCTGCGGAGGCTCTAGCAGGCCCTGTGGAGGGGAGGGCGTGCGGTCCCCCCTACCACCTGTCTTCTGTCCCCGCAGGTGACTGTGGTCCGGAACTTGGAGGCCTACGGTCTGGACCCGTACTCGGTGGCGGCTGTGCTCCAGCAGCGGTGCCAGGCTAGCACGACCGTCGCTCCTGCCCCTGGGGCCAAGGACGGCCTGCAGGTCCAGATCCAGGGAAACCAGGTCCATCATCTCAGCCGGCTGTTACTTGGTGAGCATCTCCTCTGGAGAAGCAGAAGCGCGGGTCTAACTTGGCCAAAATCTTCCCACCAATTCAAGCCCCTCTAGTCATCATAGCCATGTACATGTGTGTGCCTGTGGCCATACAGTGTGTAGTGAGGGGCCAGCAAGAGACAGAGCTGATATTTGCGCCAGGTGCTTTGGCCCCCAGATTCGGTGCTCTGTCCACCATTACTATTGGAGTAGTTTTCTTCCTGGTTTTCCCTTTTATAAAGCATCTGTTGAGCATCCCAAGCACGCTGGGTACTTTGCTGGGCTTTTTGCAGGCCCTGTCTCTCATCATGACGATGTAGCAGAACTGTTGGCGTTTTGCAGCTGAGGAAGCCGAGGCTCAGAGAGGCCCAGTCCCTTGCCCTCAGATATTCAGCTGTTCAGTGCTGCTGCTGGGCTCCGGACTTGGCTTTGTCAGACGCCCAGAGCCTAAGTTCTTTCTCCCAACTCTGGGACTCTGGGTCACCCAGCCTCCGGCTTGTCCTTGATTCACGTCACCTCTGCCCGAGTCCGCTTTCCATCACTCTCCTCTAAACACTCCTTGTGCGCACCAGTGCCTTCAGAACAGGCCCCTGTGCTCCATAAATAAGACCCTCCCGGTCCAACTCCCGTTCCCCTCGAGCTGTCTCTGGCAGCTCTCACCACCCCCCCGCCCCCACCTCTGGCCTCAGCTGCACTGCTGTCCTCGCTGTTTCCCATGCACACTCGGTGCTTGTGTCCCTGTTCCCTCGCGCACTGCACCCTCCCACAGCCCACGTCTGCCCAACAGGGGGCCTCATCGGCCCAGCTCAGGGGTCCCGGAAAGCCTGTCTCAGAGCATGTCCCATTTTTTTCTGTCCTTAAATTAGCATTTAAAAGATTGCCTATGTGGCACTTTCTACTTGGGTTTATTTTTCTGGTTAGTGTCTGCCACTTGACCAGTTTTTTCTAATGTCTGAACCCCCTGCTAGACTGAGCAACTTAAGTCAGAGATCTTACCTTCTTCATCCCTTTTTCATGCTCAGGGCCTGGCACAGAATGAATGCTCGATAAGCACATGTATTTTAGGGCCTAAGGCAGTACCCTGTAGTAAACTTTTGGAGTTGACCCCTTTAAGTGAAGAACCCGGTAGGAGGTGCTGAGAAGAAATACAGAGGAAAATAGACAAGCACATGACTGAATGCAGATGAACACGTTCTCTCTCCTGAGAAAATTATGAATGCCTCAAGTATATCTAGAAAGTGGCTCTCAGTGAAAATTGCTAAAATACACACATCAGCCATGAGGTATAAGTATAAATGGCCCATCCCAGACAACTGCCCAGAGGAGCTGGGTTAGAGCTGGGTGTAGAAGAGCAGGTCATAGGATGCAGGTTGACTGAAGAGAAGTTGATAATGGGAATGTGCGCACAGTGGGGCCAGGGGGTGGGAGGTAGCCATGTGAGTCGGGGCCCATGGGGGTCGGGGCCAAGGAGGGACGTTGTGACACAAAGCACAGGCGGTGGTTGGGAGGGCATGCCCCACTTAGGAGTTTCTGCTTTTTGGATTGTAGAAGACTATCAGCTTCCTCGAAAACACATCCAAGGCCTAGAAAAGGCCCCCAAACCCGGCAAGAAGAAATAACAGACTCCTGTTTCATGTGGTCGATCCAGTGGAAATCCAGGCTCTGGGCTGGTCATTTATATGAGCATTTTCAGCTTTTGCAAATGAAAAAATATAATTCTTTACCAAAATAAATTTTTATTCTAATCTAAATCTGATTTCCCTCTGGTTTCCTCCACTCAGCTAGACTGTTAGTACTACATTTGCAAGCCATACGTCAGTTTACATCGACAGGAGAGGTGGTAGTGGAGTGCCTTTTCTATTCATGTGATTGCAGTGGTTTTAGTTCCTTTCCTGCTTTCGGGGCAGGTGGCTCATCCAAAGCTCAGGCAGGTAGAGCCTTTTGTTTTGAAAGCCCCTCTAGCAAATAGTCCACAGCCTCTTGCTCATCTGTTCCTACCCCCTAATTAACCTCCTTGCCCCAAAAGAGTCCCCTCACATCTCTAAAGAGTTAGTCACCCAGAAGGAGCACTCAGCTGTTCTCTGCCATCAAGCCAGGCCAAAGAAGAAAGGCTTCGCTCTGAATGGCAGCAACATTTTGGCTGGACAGGTAGAAGAAATCATGAAAGTATCTGGATTCCCCTGCACAATTCTTCCCCCACACTGGCACGCTGCCGCCTGCAGTAGGAAATCGTGAAGTGGCTTCAAGATGGTGGCTTTGTTACAGGAAAGAGTCTTATCCAACTTTTGGGGGCTCTTGGAAGAGGTCTTCATTTAGTCTTCAGAGAGTCTGTGAACTCCCTGAAATGGTACGCAGGATTTTGTATGCTCATTTTCCCGAGAGGCTCCCATGCTTTTGTCATGTGCCCAGAAGGATCACTTGCTGCCAAAAAGGTTCAGAACCACTGCTCTGGTCCCTGCTTAGTTCCTGGGAGTTACTTCTGTGACCAAAGCGCTCCTTGTACAAAAGGAAGGAGTGAGAGCTGAGCTGAATTATTCTAGAGTTTTTTGGTTTTACCATCAAAAAACAATTAGAGTTTACTTTTTTTTTCTTTCTCATCCCCCCCCTTTTTTTTTTAATAAATCAAGATAAGAAACACTTGAACATATCCACACTGTTCACAAATTACCCACCTGGGGCTAGAAGGGAGGAAAGGGATGGATGTGAAAATGTGTGTGTGACGCCCTCTGCCTTTCGTTATTAGACCTAGAGTAACAGTCCTTGTCACTTAGGACTCACTGTAAGTAAACTCCTTAACTTTATGAATCCTTTCTCTGCCAGCATGAGCCTATAGAACTGAGGAAGGGATTTTTGGCAACTGACCCCAAACAAGATTCTATGACACAGAACCTTTGGACAGACAGTTTGATCTGAGGGAGTGTGGTATGTACAGTAGTAATGGAATATGGTCCTTATATGAACACAGATAGCATGTAGTACTTTGTAAGGTTCTTTCACAAACATGATTTACTTGCACGAGTCGCTTGGAGGCTGAGAGAGGTTGTGTCTCGCTTTGTTGATCTCCGTTAAAGACACAAAGCCAGTAAACAGCAAGGGTGGGTCTAAAATGCACTGCCACTCCCGACTGTGGTTTAACTCGGAGTTCCGCTGTGATCCTGCTGTCAGGACCTGTGCTTTTGAACGGTTTTTCCAGTAACAATGACCCGTTCGCGCTGACTCACCTTCCCTCTCCTCCTCGGGAACACCATACGCATGTGTAAGAAGGCTGGGGAAGGTCAGGCTGTTGAATGGATTTTTTTTTTCTCTGTGCTAAGCCCAACCGTCTCTTTCAAGATCAAATTAGTAACTTTGAACTTAATCCCATGATGTTACCGAATGAGTTGCAGTGAAAAGCAGAAACTGGTTCATGTCCAGGTTTTGGCGAAGTTATTAAAAGACCTACTTCTTGGAGGTCTAGGCGAACAGATGTTACAGACAAGCCCATTCTCGGGTAATTTTAGGAATGTCTATTGGATGGAGGTAGGGAGTGAGCGGGCTGCGCTCTGACCAGCCTCTGCGGCCCAAGGGCCCCCGTTCAGTGCATCACGCGTGCTCCCTCCTGGAAGGCAGGCAGCAATTTCTTCTTAATAACCTCACGTGGTTATTTCTGTGATGACAGAGCTGTTCCTCTGATGGAAGTTAGATAATGCTGTTGTGAAAGGACTTTCACTCACCTCATCTAGCTTTCCTCCTCTAGGTGAGGTGACCTTAAACTCTCAGAGATGCATCCTGTCTTATTTTTAAATAATTCGACATGGAAAAATCATTGTCCACCTCAGTAGTCTGTCCTGATGCTTAATCATCCATGCTTGGCTCCAGAAAGCCCCTCCTCTCTTCTCACTCTACAAGGATCTCCTTCTAGAACACATCCCCTTTCCTCTCCTGCTCTGTGGACTAGCTCAGCAGCTGGGCACCTGGGCAGCACCCTCCGGCCCACGCGCTTGGACAGGTTTCTCAAGATTGTTTGACCAGCAGCCTTCACTCCTCTGTTCGCTGGCAGGAGAAATTCAGACTCCGTGCAGAAGTAGATACTCTTCTCCATTCCCACCCTCTCCCCCAGCTCCCAATTTCCAGGAGGTGGTGAAGGGCAAAGAAGATCTCTCCAGTCTGGGTCATTTTTGCAACAAGCTTTTATTCCTTTTTTTAAAACCCATATAAGAAAGACATTTAAAAAGAAAATATCCTCAAAACAAACACGTACACATGGGGCAGCACAAGGATAGAAGGCACTACCAGCCGCCATACGCGCCTCCGGGGGAAGGGATACTTTATACAGACTGTTCGCCAAGGCTCGGACCTCAGCATGGGTCCTGGGTCTAACTGTGCTTTAGATAAAGTCAGAATTTTCCCTAATTTTCTTATTTCATAAACACCCCTATCTCTTTATATATAGCTATATGCCTTTATGTATATACATACATGACTTTATTTTCCTTCTCAAAAATAAAATAGCCGCCCCCATCAGAGGGAGGCTCTCAGCAGCATTCACAGCGGCTGCAGCAGGAGCTGTGCCTTCCATTAATGTTAAAGACATGCAGCATGAAGGAAAAGGACTCTCTACCCGCTCCCTTGAGTACACAGCAGGGAGAGAGATTTTTTTTTAAGGGAGAGAAGCAATAAGGCTGAGCATGAGATGGCAGAGAACCAGGGTTCTGGGGGCCTAAAAAATCTTTTTGAGCTGCTAGCTTGTCTTGCTTTTGCAGCTCTGAAGACTACACACAGTTTTGTGACATGGGGGCAGCATTCCTTCTGGGATCAGGGGCGGTGTGGACACAGCAAGGGTTGCGGAGGGGATTTCTGAGGCTACACAAAGAAGCTGGGGCTCAACCCAACCCAGGAAGGACCTGGGAAGGCCGACGACAGCGAAGAAGTGATCTCTCAGAGGCTGGACTGGAAAGCCGGCCCTGCTTTGGCTGTGAAAAGTCCTTCTCCCTCTGCGTTGGAGTGTCTTTGAGGCCTGGCCACTTGCTTCAGTTGCTTGGCGAGTTTATTTTTCAGTTTGCACCCGAACAAGGATCCAGTACAGGTGTAGGCTGGGGATCTGATCCACCTTGTCCATGGGGTTTGACATCACTTATTGGGAGTCAAAGCCCAGGACGTTAGAGGGGAAGGAGGTCTGTGACTCTCGCCCCATTCTCGGAGGGAGGGCTCCCCTGGCCTCGCCTCCCACACCACCACGGTCCCCTTCCTGGCAGGAGCAAGCCAGCAGCAAAGTGTCAAGCAAGTGCGCCCTGCTCCCGTCTCTCTCTGAAAACAAAAAGGCACTGAGGTCAGCCGGAGGCCAGCCCACAAGCTCGCGGAGCGCAGCGCCACGGGCTGGCCCGGGCTTCGGAACACAAAGGACTCCAAGTCGGCTGAGTTGGGAGGCTCCCCGTCTGTAATCAAGGCAGCTCCTCTGGCAGCACCTGGAGACTCCAGAGTCCCGGTGGGAGGAAGGAGGCCATGCGGAAGGCCACGCAGGAAAGCAGGGCGGCCAGGCCCTCCCCTGCTCTCCGGCCAGGGGGAAGGCTGAGGACAAGTTGGACACATTTCTCTGCAATGCTTTTTGGCTTCCTCTGACTGCCTGATTTCCATACTCAGCAGGAGACATTAAAAATGGTAAATGGCTGGTTTCCCTTCGGTGGAAACACGTGAGGATGATGGCAATATGAAACTCCAAGTTGTAACTTAAAAAACAAACGCTTGTTGACGAAGAAGTGACGAGGCATCACACACGTGCAGATAAATATATGCCTTTGGGTTTACGTGTGTGCAGACTCTTGAGTGATGAGGGCCAAGGCAGGCTGTGGCTTCTCTGGAAATCTCTGAGCCCGCCTCAGCTTTGGTGCTCCCTACCTGAGCATCTGGGGCCAGTGGCTTTAGGACCTTCCCTTGAGCATGAACAACGGGCACCTTGAGACAGTGGGGGGCAATCCTCTTACGAGCATTATCCTGCTTTTGGGGGCTTAGCCCCGACCTGCTCAAGGAATATGCTACAATTTTTGACTCATAAATAAAGGTCTATGGGTGGCAAATAAGAGAGAAATTGAAGAAGAATAAAAGCCAGAGAAAGAACAGACAGCTCTAAAACCTTTCTTCTTTCCTTTGCCGGCTGGTGCAAACCATTCCAGTTTGGTGATGAGAGAGGCAGCTGGTTGGCTTACTAAGGGCTCACGGATTGCCGACATCCGAGGCTCTTCTCTCCACCACCCCCCACCACCACCTCCCCCGCCAGTCCTGCTCCTCGGAGGTGGGGAGGGGGCGTGCGGCAGGCGGGGGCCTGGCCTGCGAGCACGCGTGTCCCTCAGAGGTTTCGTGCCACATCTGGAACTGCCGGCGGGGGGCGGGGGGGGGCACAGATGTACCCGCCACAGGTGTCCTGAGAAAAAGTGTCTGTTGCAAAATAATAATTAATAATAAAAATAAATCCGCGGGCACCAGAAGAGGAAGCAGGACCGGTTAGCCAGGTTTGCCCTGGGATTCTCTTAAGGCCTCCTCCAGTTTCTGCCTAAACTTGTCATATTTCTTCTGCACTTGCTGGATTTTGTCTTGCTCCTCCTTTTCCAGGATTGTTAGGAAGTTCTGGAGCTCGGGAATGGAGAAGGCGTCCCACTGTGAGGCACGAGGGAGATGGGGGGCAAACAACAGGAGACAGGTCAGAAGCCGCCTGACCTGAGGGCCTCCCCCAACCCCCGCTGCCTCCATCCGCACACAGCTTACACAGGGTTTGCTA